TGTTACACAGTCATTTTGTGTGCTCAAATGAGTTGTTGTAAGTCTTTTAAGATCAATTCTTATAAATCTTCTTTGTTGATATCATACAAATGACTGAACAAATGACCCTGCCTGTTCACACTGAAACAAAATGTCATCATCATAGGATTTATCCCTATTAAAATACTGATCTGCTTCTCTGAAACACAAAGGACACGTTGTTAACATACTAACATCCTGTTTGTTGCTTTAAACTGCTTTGTAGATCAGTGGTGCTGCAGTAGCCTATACAGCACTCTATAGGCTACATGCAAACTTTTAATGAGACAGAGTGGACGATTTGATATATCCACAAGAAGCTCATGATAAATTATAAATAGTGTACTTGAATGTTACATATTTAAAAGGTTTTACTACTTATATGTCCTCATGTAAATAAGGATTATATATTGTTAGAGCTTTAATCAAAACAAAGTCAAACTCTTTGGCTCAATATCATTTCAAAGTAAATTCTGCTTGTTCTTTGCTTGTGGAATGGAAGCGATGCATGCTAACTTTACACCAGACGGCTCTACAGTGTAAAATCTCATGGTCATTTATCAACATGTCTTATTTTTAACTCAGTACAGTCAGCAGTTTGTCACTTTATGCATTTATAAACATCACTTCTATTGTCTTTGGGTTGATGAGACTCCTGACGGATTGTTCCTTTAACTGAACAAATCCAGTTGTTTAGAATAAACCACAACATGAAACCAAAAACTTTTTAACTTGCAGTTTAAACGCCTTTCAAAAGTGAAAATTTAAAGTTCGAGAAATATTTAATAAAAAATAATTAATGTTTAAATTGATAAATACAACATTTTACAGACATTTGTTGTGTTGAAATGTGGAGTTTTCTTTATTAACGTACCAGAATGTCTGGAATAAATAAAAACAAAGTCATCATATTTAAATCATTACATTCGATAAACAGTTCATTAAAACCATTGATTCAGTGGATGAGACAAAAATGTCAGAACATCTTTCAGAATTATTCAATTTCCAAGATCTTTCCTGTTGTTCTAGTTTGAACCAGCAGAGGTCAGTGTTCCATACATCATAACAGCTCTGTTCAACTCACTTTGTTTTGTCTGGGATTATAAATATGATATAATTATAATTTCTGTGACATTTATGAGTTTCTTCTTTTCCTCTCTGGATTTACTTCATCTCAAGCTTTCACTCTCAGCCACAGAGACACTGCTGTGTGATGACAGAGCTGCTCCGCTAGAGGGCAGAGCTGAATCACAACAGGCGACAGATCCCTCCTGTCACTTCTCAAGCTTCTTTTCTATTTAAGCTCTTGACGTTTTCAGCCATTATTCAGTATTCTACAATTCTATGTCAAAACAAATCCTCCTCCACAGCATTAAGCATCTTTTTTCATCTCCTCACCCCAGATATGAATTCTTGATAGGATGGAAAACCTCCCTTCCATCCAGTGCACAGTTGATATTTCATATAAAACTAGAATGGCAGTCACAGTGAAGTGCATATACCTCCCAACAGTCTCCTTAAATGAAATAAAACAGCACTGAATTTTACACACACCACTGACATCAGTTCTCTTGATGTACCTGTTTATTTTTCATCACGATCCATGAATTATTCTCTGTGAAAACAGTGGATATGTTGAAAAACACCCGATCTCACAAAGTAAAAGAAAAAGAAAAATACTGGATCCTCACTAGAGTTCTCCTCAGACCCATAGCACGTCCTGTCATTGAGATTCGTGACGATCTGTTCAGTTGTTTTTATGGACAACCAAATGGACAGGTGTGAAAACATAACCTCCTCAGTATTTTTTAATAAAGAGCTAATATTATTAAAATATGACAGTAAACTGATTTGTCAGTTCAAGTCAACTACATTCAGTTTCACACATCTATATGTGACACAGTTACCACCACTCGTGTGTGTGTGTGTGTGTGTGTGTGTGTTCAGCTCATTACCAGGCTCCTCTGGGAATAGTTCTCATAACTGTGTAATTAGTTCTTGTGACTTATGAAAGCAGATCCTCCCTTTGTGAGCAGTTTTATGATCAAACTTGACAACAGTTAAATGACTCCCCTCAGGCTTTTATCCGACGTCCCTTCAAAACACTGACTCACTTTTCATACAGAACAACAACAACAACAACAACAACAACAACAACAACAACAAAAAGATCGCCTCACAAACAGCATGCTGGGACATCTGAGTGTCACATGGGTGAAACTTTACAGCTCTTTCTCTCATGTATTTGGACGGATGACTTTTAACAAGCACAGCCCCTCTAGCTGTCCTGATGTGGCTGAAACCAATTATTTTCTGTGGGGTTGTGAGCAGCAGGGGCAGCTGCAGCCGATACACCCAAATATCTTGTCACCGTGTCACTTCATCACATCACCCCGTGATATTTTCTAAACAGGCTTCATCCCTCTGTCGAGCAGGATTCTCTCTCCCTCGCTGTGGTCGGCCCTCTGACACTGATAGATCAGCTGATGTCACAGAGAAGAGATCAGCCCAGTGAACGGTTTGACTCATTTAATGTGATCGTGTTTCCAACAAGACACGAGTGATGAGGAGGGGTCTTCATCCTGAGGAGGACGAGTTCTGCACACTGGCAGAAAAACGCTCTTCTTAATTAATCATTTGGTTGTAAGAGCCAGAACTGATAAAACCTATAACATTATTATCACATTATTATTATTATTACTATTATTATTAGAAACAGATAATTTATGTAGCACATTGTAACAAAGTTATAAAGTGCTTAAGGGGATTTTCTTTTACAGCATTTAAACAAGAGAAATAATTAATGAAGTTACACAAAACTAATCAATCTCTGTTTTTCTAATGAAACCTTTTTTTTCTGATAAAAGAAAAAAAAGAATTCCTGTCTGATCTCAATATGTCGAGTGTTCCACAGTTTCCGGACTCTAGCAGCAGAGGCCCAGTCGCCCTCAGTCCCCTGCTGTTGTGTGATAATAACCAGCGGAGCTCCAGCAGCAGATCTACCTGAGCGCTCAGACACATGTTGGGGGTTAATGAGTTAAGTTACTCTGGTTTGGAGCGAGGCCTTTTCGAATCAATGTGGATACAGCAGCAACCTTCTCTGTGCCCACCTTGAATGTCACACGTACAAGCAGGATTCATGACATCACAGTGATGTCATTACACAAGTGGGATGGGATAACTTGGGATCGTCTTGTAAAGATTAACGTGTCGCTACGTTACGACAGCAGCCTCTACTTGAATGTGGTTGAATTTCCTCTTCAAACGTGAATATCCAGGCAGCTGATGAATTCATGAACCTTTAAAAACAAACTTTAACTTGAAGTTATGAATCAAAAGTGTTTAATGATTCACTATTATAAATAATATCATTAATAGCAAAAAACTACTTGATGGTGAAATGTAACCGCCCCTGGATACTGATGTTAAAATGTCAATATGGTGACTGAGATGACTTTGGAAAAGCTGGATTATTTAAATTCACTTCAGACTTGATCATCCAGGATGATCAGCCAACCTGAATGGTATTGATCACACTTGTTCCCCCGTCATTCCATCTTAACTTGTAATAACCTGACACAAGAGGAACAAGTTAGAAAGTTTCATTTTGTAATTTGGTGTCTGAATTTCCCAACTCAGTAGTTTGTCAACTAACCAGTCATTTTAGAACCCAGAGAATTTATACCAGTTGAGAATTGTATTTTCATAGTAAACACAAAATGTACGAACCTTTAATAACAAGCCAAAATGGCACCACTTGAAATAACCTGGACAATTTTTCCTAAAGGAGAAGTTCGGATTCACATAAATTCAGATTTAAACATAAAAATGTGCAGTGCTATGAATTCATGGTGCTAATAATCCAAACGATGCACACACGTAGTGTATGATACAGAGGTCATAGTAAATAACCAGATCTGCCTGTTCTGTCTCATTAGCTCTTCTAACAGTGTCACTCTGTATTTCCATTAACTATCTGAGGACGACACAAAAAACGTCTCTGTTTTTCTTTCAATGTTTGAAAATATTCTTCAGCTTCTTATAATCTGAGATGACTCATCAGACTCAACGGCCCATGTTGATCCGAAGGTGACACACGCTTGAATTGACTTCCTGACTTGAGAGTGTCCGCTGGCCCTGCAGCAAACTACAATATATCATCCCTGCTGAGCTCATTGATTATAAAGCTCTTTATCCAGGAGCCCGCTGCCAGTTGGCAGTCACCAGAAAGGAACAAGAAAGTTGTTTTCAGCGCAGGAAATGGAAATGGCTTAACTCCCACTAATAGATTTCGGCTTTAGATCAACAAAGATGCTCTCAGTGGGACGCTGGACGGACCATCACACTGAATAGGATTTCTGAGAACAGCGGGAGACAGCGGAGTGGCTGCAGAGGATTGGAAGAAGCGGAGAAATATTGCAATGACTGGCAGCGCAGACCAACAATCGTCACGTCAGAGAAGAAAGAAGCAGACACAGACGTCACCAGTATCATAGGAAGTGAGTTTATTAATCACAAATTGAGTGGTTCTAAAAGAATAAAGAAAAGAAAAAAAGAGCAGGCCCTCAAGGGACATTCCACTGTGTGTGAGTTAAGTTCAGAAAATCCAGTTTTCTTACATGCACCAGTAACAGTGCTGGATCAGTGGAGCCTTCATTGAGCTGAAAGACGATGGTGAATGAATGGCTGTATCGTGGCCCCGAACCCAGAACAACTTTGGAAACCATCTCACCATGTGTGGTGCAAATATAATCTCTATCACCGCTGCCTCTCAACGTCTTAGCACAGCGCACACGTTCAGGACTATGCGGGGGGGAGATGTGGGCTGACATGTAGCTGCTGCACATGAGTCCCCGTCGGCCTCGATGCTTGAACTCTGGTTTATAAAGCCTGAATATTTACATCTCCATTACAGCTGCGAGACACTTCAACGCTGAAAGTAGTGGCACAGCACTTTCAAAATAAAACTCCCCACACTACTGGTGCTATAAATGGAAAAAATACTGCTATATTTTTTATAACTCAGAGATCATATAAACATTTACCACTTGGGATATCCTTTTTTTCTTTAGCCTAAGTACCGTGTGTCTTTACCAAAAAGATTATTCCCACTATATTTAGGCACTAATATATTTCTACTTCAATGTGTCTGCACCTTCAAATCTATGAAAACAAAAACTATTTACAAAAATTGCGGATATGTAAAGACGGGAGGTGTTAATTTAGCGGTGGCATCATTCCTCTCAAACGCCGTACGGGTTGTGGTTAAATGAAATGTCAAACATTGAGCCTGACAGCGTTGTAGAAATGTACAAAAGGGAGAGAGCACAGAGAAACTGTGACGATGTTAAAGGCTGAAGGCACTTAAGAGGAATGACATTTGTAGAAATGAAGAGGAGGACTTGTAATGTACCTGTACTCATTGATTAGGTGTATTTATAATGTTACATTGTTTTTTTTCTCTTGGTTCCTTAATGCAACATATTTCATTGGAAAGAAAGACTGAGCAGTGTTGACAACTTCCTATGTGCAAATGTTGGGCTGATCGTCTCGACCATGACTGATACTCAGGTAACGTTTGACCAAACTTTTGCTATGAAACATTAAAAAGATGTTGGAAATATGATTAATAATAACAGAAGCCAGTAAATAACTTTGAAGCAGGGTGCAGTTTGTTCTGAATACCTCATTAAACTGAGACAGTTGTGGAATCGTCAATCTGCCGCGCTGCTCCTCTTCATGTGTTATGACAGTATGATAAGACGTTACCTTTTCTCAGCCTTACAAATGGAAAGAGTTTCATATCGCCTCAAATAGGAAATGTTTTTTTTGTGTACATTTTTCACCACTTAACATAATCTTGATAAAGAGAGAGGAAATCTATATACAATCAGTACAAGTGTTAACCCTCCAGACCTCGGCTGTATATCACTGTACCACTCAAGTGTAGCGTCACTTCTGAGAGCCTTCAGCTTCACCGACAGAAATGACGAATACGAGCTGCAATCAATCACTGTCCGTCTTCTTCTGGTTACACGAGCTCTACTCTAATGAAGCATTAGTAAAAACTAATTGGAAACAAATGTGACATCAGTAAATTGTGCAGCAGGATTCAGGTCGGAGAAGATGTTGCGCCTCACTGTGTGTCTACTGAAGAGGTGGGATCTTTTCACTGACGTGGGTGGCACCTTTGGTAATTACAGCTTTAAAAAAAAGGGGGTGTGGGTGTGGGGGTGCAGTTAAATTAAACCTGGTTCTGAAAGCTCTGTGTTCTGTGATCGCACAATCTGTTTCCGTTTAGAATTCACACAGAGGCTTTTACTCTGTGAAGTTCACGAGTAGCATGTCCCGTTTTTCAAAGATCAATTTGTTTTGCTTGGATCTGGAGGGTTAACTTGCAAACCCTGTATTATTATTATTATCATTAATATTATAATTATTATTATAGTGTAATACTGAACATATGCATGACAGCAAAACTCTAACCTGGTCATTAAGTTCGATATATACAAGATGAACAGCAAGCATAGAAGGACACTTAAAAAGAAGAAAACGCAGCACTGATTGTGGACAGTGTTTCACAGCATTTGACTGGCACTCTTCAAAGCCTCTCGCTAAGACTATCTACAAACATCAACATGGAAGTCTCTCGCTACAGAAACGGGACTTTCCCAGCGCAGAAATTAAATATGTAAGACTGCCGATCAAGAAGCACATTTCGATATGCTGATACAAGTCAGTTTGTCTTTCTTTTGCTCTGATTGCAAAGGTGTAAATGCTTGATGCAAAGTGGTTAAAGTATGACACATCTTTACATCCACAACCAAATAATAATAAGAATAAAAAAAACACATGTTAGTATTTTACAAATATTTAAAAAAGTAAACCTTTATCTATAGGCATTTTAAAATATATTCCATCAAAAATAGTCTGACAAATTTCAACAGTAGAAAAGAAACGTTTTACAAATGACAAAAGGTTTGAAGCTAGAAGTTTACAGTAGAAATGCGTCATGATAGACTGACTGTGGAGGACAGAGAGACGCCTCCTTTTCTACCTGGCAGAACAAAGAGCTGTTTCCTTTTCTCCGCCTCGATTAGTGTTTAAAACCATGCAGTAACTGTAAAGTAAGAGCTCCAGAATTTAGCAGAAGAGAAGTTGACAAATTCCCCCCGGCCGTTTTACATGATGTTCTGTGAAATCTTGTCACCTTTGGCAAACTTGAGTGGTTGGATTTCAGTCATGCTGAGAGCAGAGAGCATGAACTGTGGCAGCTCCGTGGTCAGACAGCGTGGAGCGCGGTCCCACACGTCACGTCTCTCACTCAGCACAATGCCCCTCATCATCCTCTCCCTCCTCAGATCACAAATGACGACTTGTGTCGGAAATCCCCCTGTAGAGAGCATGAAGCCAGACAGGAGCAACATTTAAGAATTCATCAGAAATGTTTCAACATTAATGCAGATCCAATTTTTTGCTCCTAGACTGAAGAAAAGGCGTTGTATGTTCACTTTGTGGATTGGCAGAGATTTTGATCTCTCCTGCTCGGCTACAAAATGGGAATTTAGGAACAGAACAATTTAAAGGTACAGTGTTCAGAATTTTGTGAGATCTAGTGTTGAAGTTGCATGTTGCAGCTGAACACCCCTCACCTCACCCTCTCCTTCCAAACATGAAAAAGAACCTGTGGTAGCTTCAGTTGTCATAAAAACTCAAAAGGTGTTTAGTTTGTCCAGTCTGGACTAATGTAAAAAACATGGCAGCCTCTGTAGAGAGGACCCCCTCCATGTAAATATAAAGTATTTAAATATAAAGGGTCTTTTCTGGGGTAAAGAAAACTACAATTCATACAATTTAGATGAAACAAACTAGTGAGAACATAATGAGGATTATTCTACATTAAATTTCTGCCAATAGTTCCCTTTCACCTAAATCTTACACACTGGACCTTTAAGCACTTAAGTAGGGGATGAGTTATACTTATTGTCTGTTAGCTGCAGACCAGAGCCCTGTTTCCAAAAAAAGCATTTTAAGGCAGAGATGCTCTTAATCTCATTGTAAGTCTACGAGGCTCAACTTGGTTTGATTTTGTCATAAACAACATACACTTTATTCATTTATCTCACAACTACAACAAGAAGAACTCCAATAAAACGTCTAACATTCAATCCCACATGAACACGTGAAGACAAAGTCAAACAGGTTTAAATGTGGACGTGGTCCTGAGCAACAGTAACGGTTACGTTACAATTCAAAAGTAGCCGACAGCATGTACTGTATATATAATATACTATAATATAATATAATGTTTTGAACATGCTGGTCTCTGGTGCAGTCTCACACCTGTAAATAGTCTGATACCTGATACCATGTAGGAATGTGAACACATGCCCTGCTGCTAAATACTGAATCCTGTCAATACAATACAATGGGTTCCTTTAGTTGCATAAAAACTATACTGCATCCTCTTTGTTCAGTCTGTTATCAGCCCCATGATGATGATGGCAAATACATTTTTATAACCACATCATACCCAGCTCTGATTCAGAAGCTTAGACCTTTATCATGACTCCTTGCAGTGAAACATGAACAAATCTGGTTTGAGCCAGTTCACTTTCTGAGGAAAACAGTTTAACCCAAATTTAGTTCAGATCTTTTGTCCTCTTGCCAAGTACTCAATCGTGTATTCATCGTCAAAGACAGAATTTGAATTCAGTGAAGTTGAATCATCAGTATGTAGGGCCTGGGTGTGGCTCATTAAAGGAGCACACAGGCGGTTTGGCATGTTTTAGCCCATTAACTATAATTTATATTCTTTGTTTTACTGCTGACGGACGGATTTTCCAGGTTTCCAGCAGAGAGACTTGAACCACTGATTAGACTTCTTTAATATCTTTATCACAGTATCATTTATAACTTCTACAGGCATTCAATGTGAACCTTTATCTACAAACCTCATCTTCCGTCCTGACGTAGTCCACTCCGTCTCCTTTGGCTGGAACTTTGTAACTGAAGGACACAGAGAACATGGTGGTTCTGAGGATGAGAGGTTGAAGAACACATGTATTTGTTGTTTATTTGAATGGGACGATGTCTTACTTGTTTCCTGCCTGTTTTTGGCTGGAGAAGTAGCCTCGCTTGTATGCACAGCAGATCCCCACTGTTATACACAGCAGCACTATGACCACCACCAGCACTCCCAGTAGAATCCCCAACAAATCGACATCATCTGTGGAGTCCCGGTAAGAAACGAGAAATTAAACATCTTCTCAACCTTAATAAGACATGTAGGTCACCATCACACAGGGTATTCATCTTAACACAGCAGCTGTGGCACTTACAAACTTCCATCATCTGGGGTAGACACTCAGAGTTCCCAGCATCGTTCTTTGCTCGACAGAAATACTCCCCTGCATCTTCTTTCCTGACTGCGATGAATTTCTGCATGGGAGGAATCACAAAGCAACTGATTGAATATGATTAATGCAACAATCCCCACATATAGGAGGCAGTAGCTCAGTCAATTGAGATTTGGCTTGGGAACCGGAGGGTGGCCGGTTCAAGTCCAGCATGGACCGGAGTATGAAAGGTGGACTGGTAGTTGGAGAGGTACCAGTTCACCTCTTGGGCACTGCCGAGGTGCCCTTGAGCAAGGTACCAAACCCCACCAATTGCTCCCCGGGTGCCTTAATGGCTGCCCACTGCCCCGTGTGGTCACTGTGTGTATTGTGTTCCGTGTGTTCCGTGTTCACACGGATGGGTTAAATGCAGAGGACAAATTTCCCCATGTTGCATGTAGTGCTGTGTGTGCATGATTGTGTGGGACAATAAAAAGGAATCTTAATATAAAACCCAAACCGTCAGTGTTAGTTACCACTTGTTTGTGGAGGTTTTTAGACCATATTGCATTATGACAGAACCTGTCACAAGTCATTTGAACGGAATTTTAAATTTTTTTTAATAAAATATGTCTAATCAGACTAAATAATGGTGCATGCAGCATGGATGAGAAGAGGAATACTAAGAGCAAGTGTGAGTAGAGAAGGAGTGACAGTCATACCAAATTTAAATTCATTTGGTTAAGAGAGAAAGTGACTTTAAATATGAAAATTAGACTTGCTGATAAAACAGTGAACACATGAGCTCAATGCAGGAGGAGACATTCACACATGTGTATGGATTAAATGTACATGGGAAATTAACACTGTTACAGGACACCCTCAATCTTTAAGGGAACATACTGAACATGCTTGTGGTGCTCTAGGTTCCTGTGGTTCTTTATTTGGAATAGACACCGTTTCTTGCACAATCCTTTCAAATTCCTGATAGTTATGATAATGTGGAGCTGATGAGCCAAAGGAGTATTTTGTTATTTATGAAACTAATGCTGAACTCAACAAGATGACTCAAGATGATTTATTTTCTCTCTTAAGTGGCCCTCATACTCTGTCGTAGTATTTGTTATTTCCCTTTTAGTGACACTATATTATTGTATATTCACACAAAATATGAGGGGGCGGAGGAAAATCTTTTTAAATATATATTTTTAAACCGAATAATACAATGTAGGATAATGCCAATTGAAAAGATTAAATTCAAATCAAAATGATCACTCTGAAACTTTCCCATGCAACCCAATCTAAAACATAATGATACATTTGAGGAATTCCACTCTCTACATCAGTGGAAGTTTTTAACTGAGTTATCTGTGATCGGTTTAAAAATAACAGCCAAGACAAGATGAGCACAGTGAAACAAAGTTCAGTTTACAGCTATGACTTGAGCTACAGTTTCACATAAGGAGCGTGCACGCTGTAGTTTGCTGTAACGTGTCACTTCTCAGAGGCCAGCATGAAGGTTGACAGCAGAGAGCACTGAGCAGATCGAGCAGCGCAGGAGAGCGAGCGAGAATTGAGGAATGTGCAAACGAGGGCAGCAGATTCCCCTCGTGGCTCGAGCCCTCTTACACCATCAACTGTCTCCCCAAAATATCTGCCCCCACCCCTGGGCGTCAGGCCACCATCCCTGCTGCCCCGCCCTTACTGCTCATGTGTGCCCTTGTGAAAAGACATGCACACGCATACTAACCAGAGTTCCTGTTTCTGCGTTGAGAATGTATGAGGAGTTGAAGAACTTGAGGCTGGTCTTCGGGTCTTCAGGAATCTCCTCCCGGCTCTTGAACCACTGGTACTGAGACTTTGGGAAGCCCTCCTCCTCCACACAGCTCAGCTCAGCTGGCTTCCCAAAAGGCACCGATTTGGGGACGCTGCATTTTGGCACCACTGGCTTCACTGTGGTGACACAAGACATATGATGATTGTCACTGTACTGGGTCTTCACAGTTTTTACATTTGGTGAGCATCACAGAGAGGAAACAACTGACACCAGACCTCCATGATGCTGCTCAGCCTATGATTGGCTTTGATGCTTGAAAAACAATGTCACCCTGACCCCTCATGGTTCACTGGACTGACTTCATTGACATGGCCGGACGGGTGCATGATTTTTGACCTGTGCCAAAAAACGCCACCAAAACACGCGCTTGCTTTCTTTAGAACTGCAATTCAGAGCAGATGCAGTTTCAGAGGTTTCCTCTTATAGCCTAGAACACGCCTTTGCAGCTGGGCAGGTCTGGTCATACCGCATCCTCATATGTATGCCAAAGGGCTGGTGCGATCTACAGCACGGTTTCATCTTACAGCATCCAAAGTGTGAATCGCTAAGCAGGGCACAATAATAGCTTGTTTTCTGCATTCACAAGAGGCTTTATGATTCTCTCATCTATCTGTCTCATACCTTTGGCTCTATGTACACACACACACGTTCACAGATCGATTGATGATGGAGGTAAATCCAAGTACCTCTTACAACAAGGTCAATCACAATCTCGTCAAATGACCTCTGATCATCAGCAGCAGTGACCTCACAGCGATATTTTGCTGTGTCCAATCTCGTGGCGTTGGTTATCAGTAATGTGGCAGGTTCTCTGATCACTGCTCTGTTCTCCAGGTCACCTGTCAGGAGAAAAAGAACATGTCCAGCAATGTCAGAAATATATATAAAACATTCAAATAATAACCATATAAATACAAGTCGTATACATTACCTGAGATCTTCTTGTCAAAGTACACATAACTCGGTCCCCCATTTGTGATCTTCTTCCATTCAATTCTGGGATTGCTTGTAGAAATGGACTCAATCAAACACGATAACTCAATTTCTGCAGGATAGAAAAAAGGTTTTATTACATCAATAAATTTGCATGGTCTTTTTTGTGTGTGGGTGATTGGTCCTTGGCTCTTACTGTCGAACTCGTCGGTCCATGGCGAGTCGTTATTCGTCCTCAGTACCACTGCCAGCACACTAAAGTAGCCTGCAAAACAAGAGAGGAGAGACGATACCATATGAGACTCCATGGAGCATGAATTTTCATGATACAGTGAGGATCTCATGCTATATGCACAATACCAGCTGACATCCTCACATGCGCTGGGCTTGTTTTGATACCGTCCTTAGGGATATTTGTAAAACCCCACATCTTTAATTTCACAAACACAACGTAAGTGAACATTAATGTCAATCCCACATCAGTGTGATGATCTTAACATCCCAGCCTTGTTCTTTCAGTGTCCATTTTTAGTCGTGTTGGTCAAACCATTGTGTGTGTCTGAGTGTGTGATTAGGGTGGGGGTGCTGTTTCCATGCACAGTGGATAATTGCGCAGGGAGGCATGTGCCCTTTACAGGGCAAGCTCACCATGCCAGTAGTTCAACTGCCTGCCGAGCCCTTCTCTCTCCCCCTCTCTCTCTCTCCCTCCCTCTTTCTCTCTCTCTCTCTCTGGGCCTGATGCTGTTACCCATGTGGGGCTAATGGTGCAAAAGCACCCTGGAAAGATCTGTTGGTATGTGGTGGAGGGATAGGGCCTTGGGAGGGGTCACTGCTGAATCATCGTGACAGCCTATGGTCCACAAACAAATGCACACAAAGTCACTTCTACACAAGTGTTAAGCAAGGAACAAACTCATAAACACTTCCAGAGACAGAATACATCCCATAAAAAAATATATTAAATCAATAAATAATGTGCCCCAGTCTAGTCCCCCATTCGCATGTTTCTAAACCTGCACTTGATTGGTGCGTATAGTGTGTGCAGTTACTGTGCTCTGCTACTAATTAGTATTAATTAAACGTGGTGCGGGGCCCCTCATTCAAAGAAACAGGGATAACTTGACCTCCACCATGTGTGATCTGGATCCACAGCAGCGTCTAGTGTCACCTACTCAAGCAGACAGGGTAAGCTGATTAGCCTGCAGTCTTTCTCTAGATAATGACAAGACGGCAGCTTGTTTTTAGCCGCTGCTGACAGTAATAACACTGCACGGACTAGGTCACAATTACATTTGACAATAAGAGACCTGCCCTCAGGAAGCTCCCGGAAAGTTTAGTGTTTACAGTGACTTTGTGTGCTTGAAGATCACATTTGGCCTGTATATACACCAAGATGGCGCCACGAACGGTCGCCTCGGTGTGTTGGTGCGCACTTTTGTGTTTGTTCTTAGTATTTAATTATTCAATTTCTTATATATTGTTGTTTTTTATATTGTTGTTTTATATACATAAGTAGTGCACCAATGACACCAAGGCAATTTCCTGTATGTGCAAACATACCTGGCAAATAAAAGAATTCTGATTCTGATACACGGCTATTCTTGTATTTACAGACGAATGAAAATAGTATTTGCAGAACCAGACTGTGCTTGTATGCTCATCATATTAAATGTTACATGAAAGACGCTTTTTTTTTTGATGACACTAACACTGTTGCTGACAAATAACATGGATGATGACCGTCCTTCAATTAGAAAACAATGTTCCAAGCAGCCGTCTAACGTGCAAGCATCGTCCCAGCAAAAAAGCTCCGGGCTGTTGCTTTGTGGACGACCCTGACCTCTCCAGGGGCAAAATACACAAATGAATACTTAATTACGTAATTAATTACATAAATAAAGTCGTATTGTGGTGTCATATTGAAAGCTAGACAGAGAAAAGCGAAGCTCACCAGTACAGCAGCTGATGACAACATCTAAGTGTTAATTTGAATAAATATTTGGAATAAATATTTAGCTTTGTATCTCCCGATGTGATTTATTCTGCACTGATCGACAGCAGCAGAGAAGTTTAGACCCAAGAGGATCAAGTTTAGTTTAACAGAAGTTTTCTGACTGAGAAGTTTAACAAAGAATTTGCAAAAGGAGTGAGGAGCAGAATGCGCACTCCTTTTCAGAAATATGAAATATAACAGTCAAAACTCCACATATCCCGTCACAGCCTGTCACCTAGTTAGATTCAGCTCCACAGTGCAACAAGCACAAAAGCACACACAGTTCTGGCAGAATTAAAGCTGCGTGAGGAGGAGAAATGCTTTTCAACTCCCAGTGTTTCTGAGCGCCTCGTGTACTGTTGCTACTCTTTTGGGCAAATGTGAGCCACCTCCTGATAACACTGAAAGGTACAAAGAAAATCCTTTTAGTTAACTGAATTCATACATGGGCAGATGTGCTATTTTTGCTGTTTCTGACTTTACTGACAAAAGCTTGCGTGAGGCTTGTTAGTGCTTTGTGGGTTTAGGTTTCGAATGTACTGCATGTACTGTGTAACTTTAAACCAAATCTAACTAGGCCAAGTATGCCAAGAGTCCAAAATATCAGAATATGTTGTGCTAAAATAGAATACAAAGTTTACAATAAATTATTCCAGGTGATAAATTAAGTACTATGACTTTTCATTTGAAGCAACACTCAATTTCATGTCTGTTTTTGACAGAACTAATGGAGTTTAGCCCCACATCCATGTGCTCCTCCTTAATTCTGAGAGTATTAGTGCAGATTAGGTGCCTAAGTGAGCTTGACGTGGAGATAAAAAGCTTGAGAGTTCTGCATAGGAAACGGCTGTCCAGGGAAAGACATGAAACCCCCACTCAACAAAACTGGCCAGGGGTTCATGTGAATTCTACATGAGCAAAACAATAATATCAGGATTTCTGAATCCTGATGATTATATGATGCTGCACTTTGTTATAGCAGCAGACAAACGTTTTACCCTAACCATAACCTGCACTCCACTTACAGAGGGAGACATTGTTCAGGGTGTAAGTGCCATATCTGAACAGGATATTAGGAAATCATTCATTGTTTTTTTTACACTGATTAAAATTTGAACTGCATTGATTAAGATCTGATGCATTATTGCAGCAGGAACCATAGTTCATAACTAAATCAAGCAGTTTTGCAATAAGTTAATGGTTTTCAAGCATAAATGCCAACATGTGCCTGTTTTGCTAACAGAAATACTAATGACAGTTGTCAACAAATCAACAAATATTTTGTGTGTCCATGACCGAACCAACAGTCGGTTCGTAAAGGTGTATTATGCTTCCTCCTGGTTATCTTTTCAGCCAAGGATTCATTTCATTACTTTTTTCAACCAGGAAACAACAAGGAACTGCTGTTCTGTCCATTAAAGTGAGCTTGATGAAAGCTCTGGAAGTATGCATTATGAGAGCTGTGTTTGCCAACTCTCTCCCAGTCTGACACATCCTTCCCTGATCATGTCCCACTCATCCTGTCTGTGTTCTTTTCTCGTTGAATAGCTTTAAAGGTCTTGCCCCCAACCTCCATTCCAATGGAGCTGATGATAACAACATGTTATTTCTTTTATTAGTTGGTGGCCATTGTGAAATGTCCTTCAGGGTGGTCCCTTCTGGCTGTATGCTTGTCAGGTCACGATTAGGGGGAAGGAAACACATGTAGCTGTTACATGTCATCTCTGACAAGCATCGTGTCAACAGTCAAGAAAAGGAAAGCACACGTGCTTCCCAAGAAAAATTATAAAAATAATTATAATTATAATATTTATAAAATGTATAATTATGTTCTTGTTGAAATAAAAGACAAAGCAGTGTGGCTAGTTTGCAGGGACACGGTCACAGTGATGAAAACATCCAAGCTCAGCATGGATGGACAAATTCTTCTGGATAAATTAAACAGTATTTGATGGAGTCTTGTGTCCAACAAGCAGCTTGCACAAAACCACACTCTGACAGAGGTGAGTGAGCTGATATCTAAGAAGCTGAAACCTCATTCAAGAAGGGAACTGTGAGTCTCGTTACTGCTGCAGAGCTTCGAGAACCAGAGTCGAATCTTTCAAAAGTGAGTTTGTCCCAAAGAGAAGAACTGTTACAGGGCAGGTTAATAATTTGGCACAAAATACAGAGAGAACACTGAAGGACACCACAAGAACCTTCAAGTGATGAAATCACAGTCAATCACAATCAGCATTTTTGAGTCATCACCGCTTGTATTAAAATCAGCATCATTAACATCTGACATCAAAGCATTTCCAGCATTTCCTGTGATTTACGTCTTCAATAATTTAGTTTGACCCTTGAAGGATATTATAAAAATTCAAATTACCCTTGTTTGGAGAATGCTTCCCTGTTTTAAACCATGCAGGTGCTCAGTGACCTACATATTTTTCTTTCTTGCTTGGACACAGCTGTGTGAGATCTGGCAATCTGCAAATCTGCATCAAAGTTTTTTAATCTTCCTTTCTGCCCATATGATGGGTGCAGGGTTTTCTCTGTAATCTTAGTGTAATGCCCTCATAAACCCCCCCAGGTTTTACATCACTGAATAATACAATAGGCAGAGCAGAGCTTGGTATTTCTTGATGCCTGCACTGTGTAATGAATCCCTCCTTTCGTCTGTTGTTCCCCCTGGGAGGCCACACTTGTTTCCTGTACTGCTGCTCAGAGAGGTGAGGCTGGTATCATAAATAGAAAGGTTCAATTAAGCAACCAGTGATATTCCCTGTGGAACACATACGCCTCGTGCCTGTGGAGAATATTCCCACGCCCCTTAAGAGGCTCTGACATCAAAGTACACACTATCAACCAGTTGCTGTTTGGAAATCTCATATCTGGGCGCTGCTTAAGTTGCACGTAGCCTGTAAGCCGAGTCCGGATTTCTGCAAGTAAACAAGCTGTTGACGTCCACAATCGTTATTATGCTCCTTCTGATCCGTTGGATACATGAAGTGCAGAGGAGCCAATTTGTTTTGTTCCTTCGTCCTGGCCGTCTCAATAAAACACTCGCCTGTCACGTCAAAAACTGACACCTCTAAGGCCACTTCATTACTTGTTCCATAAAAATGATAAATATATATATATATATATATATATATATATATGTATATGTGTGTGTGTTGCATGCACTACAAGCAGTAGCTTTAACACCTTTCCACAAGCAAAGCAGAATGTACATGTGCATCCAAACACACGTGTAGAGCAAGGCGCATGAATATGAGAACATACAG